TTAAAAAGTAAAAAAAAAAAAAAAAAAAAAACCATGCAAATATATTCAAGTAAAATTTTCATAAGCCCCAAAATTTGACTTGAAATTAAATAAAAATTTAATTCAAAATTTAAAATTTAGGAATATATTAAACATAAAATCAAAATTTTAAATGTCATCGTGCATAAATTTTATTAAAATAAAATTAAAAATTTAGAGATATATCATACCTTCCTTTTAAAAAGTTTAGGGACATATTAAATAATTTAATGTATATTTAAACATAAAAATTTTAGGATATATTAGACATTTTTTAAAAGTTGAGGGGTGAAAAAAGAATTAAAGAAAAAGTTTGGAGCAATCAGCAAAAATTGGAAAGGGCCAAAAGACATTGGAATTCAAAGTTTAGGGAGCGATCAGCAAAAATTGGAAAAAGACCAAAACACATTGGAATTCAAAGAGAATCCTCTCAAAGACGAAATTCAGGAAACGGTTCTTTAGGGATTAAAATCCCATGTTTTCGGGTACACGTTATCAAGTTACGAGCTCCGTCCGATCTGATGATCCAGATTTTATCTTCCAATCGTGTGGCTCATATTTCGTTTCCAAATGGATCCCACTTTTCTGTTGGTTTGTTTCATTTATTTAAGTAAATTATAAGTTTTTTTTTTAATTATATATTTTATTATTATTAAATTCATTGGTGAGAAACGCCGTCGTTTCAGTCTCACCTACCGCTCACGCCAAAATCTATATAAATCTGCCAAAACGGAACTGAATATTTTCAGGAAACGAAGAGAAACAGAGAAAAAACCGTCCAAATTAAACGGCTGATTCACTGTCAATGGAGACGGTCATCGGAGCAGGGGGAGTAGACGGCGGCGGAGGAGGAGGAATTTCTCCGTTGAACGACGACATTCTTCGCAACATCTTAGGCAGACTTCCGGCTCGATCCTTCGCATCGGCGGGCTGCGTTTGTAAAACATGGAACTCCGTTTGCAATCGGATCCTCTGCCGCCCTAAATTCTCCTCCGCCGTGTCCCTCAATCCCTCTCTTCACGTTCGCCTTGTTTCTCTTTTATTTCTTTCGTCAATTTACTGATTGGTAATACTCGGCGTTTGATTTTCCGATCAACGGATGTATCAATTGCTCTGGCTGTCGTGTAATTTGGTTGCAGGTTGCGGTAGAGGAGGTCCTTCAGAAAGTTCTGTCGGAGCCGATTCGGCCGCATTTCGCTATTGCCTGTATCGGCGTGGAGTTCAATCTGGAAGCCGTTCATCATCTCGTATTTCTCTCATCCCTAATTTTAATCAAATTGTGTATCCTTTCATGGTCTAATTAATTAGGGTTTCGTTAGATCACTAAGGAATTGGGCTCAAGAACTCCTGTGATAACAAACGCAGCGAGAGGCATAATGGGCTTAGGCGCATTAACCAATGAAGTCAAGGAGGTTTGAGCTTTAACCTAAACATTTATACACATTTCGACGTTTTTGCTAAGTTTCACAAACAAAATCCACAGGTTAAATGGGAATCAGTAGCTGATTATGATCTTGAAACTCAAGAATACAATTCAATCTTCAATCGAAATCGAGGCATTGTCCTGGCTGTCGGGTTTCTGCCCGGATTTAAGATCGATGAAATCTCGCTCCCTCGCTCGAACAAGGTAAATACTATAGAAATGTCGATGAAAATATCAATAAATAGATGTCCAACAAACAAATAGAACCATTTTCAGGTGTTTCAAGGAGCCATGGTTGACAAGTTTATAATGGATATCAAGGACTTCACTGCCTCCGTCTCTGATTCCACATCTCCTTCCTGTATCATATTATTTGGAGTAAGTGCTTGAAATGACTTTTCAAATGCTTAAAAACGATTTTGAAAGGTTAATTCGAATGAATCGAATGAATCTTTGAGATCTTGACTTGTTTTTCAAATGCATTCTATGGATGCTGATTATGTTGCAGGATCATCTTGTGGATATTAAACCCATCCTTGCTAAGCTGGGTAAGTAGATAGCCAATCAATTTGCAGGTTATCCATTACTCAATCCTTTTTGACAATTGTTGGTTCCCCTTCAGATTCTGCTATGGATGAAGAGACAGTGATTGTGGGCGATGCATGTGGCTTTTTCTTGAGCAAAAGCAGACGAACAATCAACAGTATTGAAGGGGTTTCCCTTGATGCTGTAGCTTTAGTACTTGCAAGGGACAAAATCAAGCCTCAAGGTAGCAACCATTTACTTTGATTGTCTTAGGAAAGTTGGCTCGGATGCTGTCCAAGCCGATCATTAGTAGATATCGTTCTCTTTGGACTTTTCCTATTGGGTTTTTAAAATGCATATGCTAGAAAGAGGTTTCCACACCTTTATAAGAAATGAAACCTCCTCAACCGTTGTGGGATCTCACAATCCACCCCCTTCGGGATCCAGCGTTCTCGTAGGCACTAAGCCCACCGCTAACCGATATTGTCCTCTTTCGGCTTTTCTTTTCGAGCTTTCCACACCTCATAAAAAAAAAATGCTTATTTCTCCTCCCCAACCAACATGGAATCCCACAATCCACTTCCTTCAAGGTCTAGCATTCTCGCTTGCACACGGCACAGTGTCCACCTCCGTTGGGGCAACAAGCCCAGATATTGTCATTTTTGGGCTTTCTCTCAAGATTTTTAAAACGCCTATAAAGAGCTTTTCACACCCTCGTTTTCCACGTTTTCCACACCCTTATGAAGAATGCTTTGTTCTCCTCCCCAACCGATATGAGATCTCACAATCCACCCCAGGCCCAGCGTCCTCGTAGGCACACCGCCTAGTGTCCACCCCCCTTCGTCTCGGTGTTCGGCTCTGATACCATTTGTAACCGCTCAAGCCCATGGCTAGCAGATATTGTCCTATTTGGATTTTTTCTTTTTGGCTTACCCTTTCGAGTTTCCTCTCAATATTTTTTAAAACGCCTCTACTAGTGAAAGGTTTCCACACCTTTATAAAGAATGTTTCGTTCTCTTACCCAACCGATGTGAGATCTCACTGACGAATATCAGCTTCATGTTGGCTCCTTAAAGTTCTTTAAAGTCCTTTGTTCTTATAGAACTGTTGCATTGTTGGCAGGTTTAGGCGAAACAAGTTTCCATTTCACATCATCGACTGGAACAATCCCTTTTGGGCCAGAGTTGAGAGCTGCATCCACCAAAGTAAGAGGGTCGAGATTCACGTGGCTCTCTGCATTAATGGAAGGAGATGATGAGATCCTTTATGGGCATAGCATCCTAAAGGCTCTCAAGGAAGAGGTGCCCGGATTTTTGGCTTTATTTTCGTTAACTTTCTGGGTTTTGAGTGTCTCATAAGTTGAAATTGCAGATTGAATACGACGATCTGGAAACTGACCTGTTCATTGGGGTCAGGCAAAACAGAGAACACACCATTGGTTCACAAAACTTGGGTCCTTCAACATCCTTGGCCATGTACAAAGTCTTAGGGTAAGCCCTTTTCATCTCTAAATTGATAGTTTTATAAATAGTTTTCATAGTTCGGCATCCCGCTACTTGGACTCGAACCGAGATCGGTCATGGATAGATCACTCAGGTTTGAGTCCTTAAGTAGTGTCAATTGCCCCATGTAAGCTTAGTTTTTATTTGGTAATTTGGACGATTGAGAGATGTTAATGTTGGTGTATGTAATAATCCAAGTTCAACGCTCAAGGTTTTAAAATGCATCTGCTAGGGAGAGGTTTCTTCACTCTTATAAAGAATGTTTCGTTTCCCTCTCCATGATCTCACAGTGTCGGTATCGGTGTCAGCATGGGTGGTCGAGTGGAGGGAAAGGGAGAGGGGTGGGGCTAGGGTTTGGGGAAAATAGGAGAAAAACTACAAAATCTTGAAGTATTAATACATAGATATACCTTTGAAATACCACAAATTTTGAACAGAGGAGACAAGGAGTATTTTGTAGTGGATGGCGTTGGAATCAGGCCAGGAGATTCCTTCTTATTCTACCATTCAGATTCCCAAACTGCTTCTTCTTCTTCCTACATAGCATTGGAACATCTTGCAACTCTAAAGCCACTGCCCATAACCAGAGCCACTGCAAATTCTAACACTGCCCCCCAGAAGAATCAAGTTTTTGGTGGCCTCATTTTCTCCTGCCATTGTCGAGGACCGGCCTATTTTGGACGTCCAAACGTCAATACATCGCCCTTTACCGAAAACTTCCCAGGAGTTCCGTTTGCCGGGGTGTTTTGTGCCAAGGAAATCGGTCGGGCCTTTACTAGGTCGATTAGGATGGAGGAGAAGGAGGAGAAGGAGGAGGAGGACGACGACAACGACGATGACAACGATGATGACGACGACGACGACAATGATAATAATGATGATTACGACGACGACAACGATGATGACGAGGACGACGATGATGATGAGGATGACGAGGACAAGGATTCTATTCACCGTTGCTTGCATGTTTATAGTACAGTTTATCTAGTGATGTCTCATACAGATGGATTAGTAAATTAGTAGAACAAAAAAATGGTTGTTTGTCTTAGTTTTGGTTTATGTAAATTATGTCTTTAACTGAATAAGTATTTTCATTATGAAAATAATTACAAATTATAATGTTTATATCGTATTGAAATGACATTCAAGTACTTCAATCAATAGTCTTCGAGATGTTTGTGTCTCACATTGCAGGGTAAAACGTTTAACACATCGTTTCAACTCCACTATAAATAGCATTTTTCTTCTCTACGTAGGATTTAGAATCCAAACTTGACATCTGATGGGCCCATTAGTCTTCAGCAGCGTCACAATCTCACTCTTTGTTCTAACCCAGTGAACAAATCATCCGATCTCACTCTTGTTGCAGCGGGACAATAATTGTGTGACACTTGTTCTAACCCAGTGAACAAATCATCCGTGTGAAATTTGGAGTTTTGCAGACAATATCGACGTATACTCGAGCCTCAAGTCACGTTTGAGAAAGATGTTTAAGAGAATGTGAGCGAGGAGATACATTAAAAAAATAATTTTAAAGAAAGTAATGTTATAGGCCTAAAAGCAAATTAGCAACGACTTTGATAGCATATAACCTGACTAGGAAGAATAGACAACTAGTCACATCCCCCGTATTTTTGGGGCATTTTAGCCCTAGCTGGAGTAGACATAATTTTGGTGATCGTTCCATGTGGCCATGGACAACACATCCTAGACAAACATAACATGATCACGTTATCTACTTATCTTACACAACTCGCTCCGATTTTTTAAGCATGTTTATTTTCCTCAATCATATTATTCCTATGAAAAAAAATGCTTTATGGAATATATTACTTTTACCTCATGGATAATTAAGAATATATCTTCTTTTTATTTTTTCTATATGGAATATATTACTTTTATCTTATCTACCACACAAGTTACCTAGATTTTTACGAAACGTGTATCAACCTTATCCGCTTGAATATGCTGAGAACCTATAAATTCCCTCCAAAATTACATTTTTTTTTGTAATATTCTCTAAGATAAGTCGAAGAAATTCTCGATGAATCAGAGTTTAGGGTTTTCGTCCTTTTATTAATAGAACTTGACCTACAAAAAAAATAGCAACAAGAGTATGCTAAAAGGGTTAGGTACTGAGATCCCAACATCGGTTACAGAGAAGAATGAAACATTATTTATAAGAGTATGGAAACGTTCATTTTAAAAAATTTCAGAGGAAGCCCGAAAGGAAAAGTCTAAAGAGAATAATATTCACCAGCGGTGATCTTGAATTGTTACATATATATGTTTATCGTGGAACTCAAACCGTCTTTAATAATTGTTAAAGACGAAATTAAGATTATATTTATATTTAGTTATACAAACATTTCAAGTACAGAGACACCATCAGCATCTGAGACTCTTGTGGTCGTGTCAGCCACATCCTTAAGCTGGTTCAGCTGAAAATACATAAAACATTAAATAAATAATAAATAATAAATAAACGGTAAAATTAATTCTAGAGGTAAATTTTGGAAAATTTTTACTCTCTTCTGCAGACGGCTATGCTCCTCTTGCAGGCCCTTATACTGCAGTAAATTTTAATTTAACCCAACAGTTAAATTTTAACAATAACGGATAAAAATCTTGCAGTAAAAATCGATGATTTTACCTTCTTCTTGAGCTGACTTGTATGTTCTGATATAATTCGTCTCTGTCGAAAATAAAATTTAAAAAATGTTTAATAAAATTTTAAATTATTTAATTTTAGGATTTATTAGCTGCTATTTACCATTTTAGAGCGAACACGTTCGATTCCGACGCTTAGTTGTCTTTCTAACCGTTTTAACTCCTTAATTGTCAACGGTTCGAGATCCTCACCCGAAAAATGCCTGTAATTTATTATTATTATTATTTTTTTAATAAAGAGAAATAGTTAAATATTATAAATTAAATTTAAATGTACCTTAATCTTGCCTCTAAGCTGCTTATTGTTCTGTTCATGTCCTCCATCTCACTCTTCCAAACCTACAATTCAATAATAATGAACTTTTATGAGTTGGGTCGGGTCGGGTTTCTAGGACTTTAAGCTTATACAAGTGTTTATGAGTTGGGTCGGATTGGGTTTCTAGGGCTTTAAGCTCTTGAATTCAACATTTTTCAAACTATACAGGGCGTTTATGAGCTGGGTCGGGTCGGATTAGGGCATTAGATTCAACCCATTTATTCGGGTTATTACTAAATAATAAACCGAACCTACCCCAATCATAAAATATTTGAATTGAGTTGATTCGCAAATAAGGTAAAATGTTAATACCTAAAATATCAATTTATTTATTTTTAAATATTGAATTAAAGTAAAAATAAAAATATGTCATATATAATTGTATAAAAAACCAAAAGACATTCCTGAGCGCTAAACAACGATATAAGACGATAGAGTAGTACGATACGACCTGGAGTTCCCCATGCTTTCCAAATTTGCAACAACATGGTCGACATAAAGAAGAAAATAACCCTTTATTTCATCATCGATCTTCAAACATCCAAGAGACAAAAGAAGGTATATCAGTAGACTCGGTCAAAGTTGAAGCGGTTATAAAGTGGGCTGCCACTAACTCTTGGATGTCTCCGAGAAGACCCTTGATGAAACAGAGGGTTCTTTTTTTTTCCATCTCGATCATTTCTAATGCAAACCTAGACATAATCGTGAATTCCAGGAGTATCTCGTAACCCATAAAAACTTTCATTTATTTGAACGAAATCCAAAGGGCTGTTAGTATCATCGAATTTTTCAAACCACCCTAACCCAAATCAAAATATATAATCAATTAACTAATGAAATACCAGAGCTCGTGAAAGCGGATGGTTGAATTGTGATTGGCCGACGTACTTTCTGTACCTAACTAGGGTTCCGTCTATGCTGTCGCAAAATTAAACCAAACACACACCGAGCGTAAATATATTTCAATTTTGTATCTAATAATAAAACTCGGAAATACAAAGATGAATAAATAAATAAATAAAAGAGAAAAAGAAGTAGGAACTCATGGCTGGAGAACTGGTAGGCCTTGCCGGAGGGGGAAAAGATGACGACGGCGACCTCGGCGTCGCAGAGAACGGCCAGCTCATAAGCTTTCTTCAAAACGCCATTCCGACGTTTCGAGAAGCTCACTTGCCGACTTGTCGGATTTTCAATTCTCTTCACCTCAACTTTGCCTCTTCCCATTCTTTTATTTTATTTATTTATTTTTTTATTACAAAAATAGATAAAACTATGAGGCTCAGAGAATTAAGTTTCCTTCATATATTTATATATATAGCGCATTAAAAAAAAAAAATAATAAAAAAAAAAATACATGGTTTAAATTTGGCGGCGTTTAATAATATATATAATAAGAAAATATAAATAAAATAAATAAAGAAAATTGACCGCGCCATGAAGACAGGAAATTAAATTATTCCAAAATGAGATTGATTGTACGATACGACGCCGTTTCATTTTCTAACCTAATATATATATATATATATATTTTGACTGGTTGGATTAAATTTTTAAATAATTCTAAATAAAATATTTTATCTTTCTTTTGGTAAAAAGATTTCATTAACTAAAATATTATCAAGTTGATAAATGATTAAATTAAAATTGTAATATAAATTATTTGATGGTATATATATATATATATATATTAACGGGTTGGATAATAATTTTTTTAAAATAAATTATTTAAAAGTTTTAAATAATTCTAAATAAAATATTTTATTAAAAATTGTAATATAAATTATTTGATGGGTATTTGATGCAATATCTCTTATAATTACTTTCAAGAAAATAAAAATTAAATTATGGTTATGCAAATTTGTTTAGTATTTTATTTAAATTATAACAAAATTGACGTCAACCTATCAAATTCTCGTATCGAATCATAGTAAAGAAGAAGAATAATTATTATTCTTTATTCTCTAATATTCTTATCATACCGATGAAGATAATAGAATATATACTTGTTCGACCTAATTTTAACTTAGATTTAGAGACGTTTAAAAAGATTCGGTGATTTGAAAAACTCTATCGACCTGATATATTTTGAATTAAATTAAATTAGTTTTTTAAAAAATCTAGTGTCCGATGCTTATATATTAACTCAATTAAAATATTTTATAATTGAGACGAGATAGTAATGTATAATTAATAATTTATTTTTTTAAAAATAAATCCATTATCATTAGTTTACTAAAATTAGTAATATGTATGAGCTTTTAGGAGAGCGAATGAATGAGTGACACGTCATTATCGTATGATGTGATGGCTCAACCCATCATCGAAATTAGACCACAAAATAAAAAATGTAAATTCAATCCCACTAGATCAACTTTTTTTTTTTTTTTTCATTTTTTCTTTAAAAAGAAATCCGAACGTTACGAATTTTGATTGGGCTATGCGGTTCCAATTCAAATATTACAAAAGTATGTGGGCCCTTAATGGTGTCTTTATCTATTCATTTGGAGGCGCCACGTGTCGCAATCCAATACGATGCTGTTGTGTCACTGAGTTCGTCGTGACAATGACTAGTTTAAGTAGGAGAAAATGTCATGATTATATTATGAAGACAGTAAGTTGTGATTCCCACATGCAGACCGATAATGTGGTGACTCTCTGACGCCTATCCGATCACATGAGTGTTATGATGCGACCGAGGAGGACGATATATACTAAGAAGAGTGTGCATTAAAGCTAAGTCGAGGCATAAGTAAGGTTGGAGAGGGTCGAGTAGGGTCCTAAACCATAACCTCAAAAATTCAAGTTTTGATATGTGACTCTGAAGTTAAGTCCGTCAATATAAAAGATGAAAAGACGGACACCCAACTGATGCTTTAGGGATTGTATAACCACTTGCCAAAATCATGTCTACTCCAAAAAAGATGAGAAAATGTCTCAAAATAGACCAGTCTCTATCACCCTGAGACCTTTTAGCCTAAACGAGCTATCTTGTGGCACATATGTTTATCACAACGTGGACGAGTGTTGCGAGACGATCGTCTCGAGCGACTTCCTCTAAAATGGGTTTTTCAAGGACAATGTCAGATGACCCAAGTGCTCCAATATTACGCCCCCAGCCATGTGTCATAGGTAGTATATGCACTCGCTATTCAGTATAGAGTCAGTAAGTGGTTGTGTATGAACACAAGAGGGTTTGTGCCACGATATAACCTGGATGTCTAGGATGCCCTAGCGATATGATTGACACATGAGCTTATTCTTGATAGAGCAAGCTACGATGGTTGAAGCCGTCTTTAAGACTTGGGATGACATCACGATGCATGAGCCATGTTGTTGGGAATCAAGATGATGACGAGATGAGATGCGACGGCAACATTGAGTTGTATAACTTGGCCAAGTGTAGATGCAAGTCGGCTAAAATCGAAAACGATCGAACATACAAGCACAAATAGATTAAACGCACATTTTTAATTGAGACATAACTTTCAATCCCATTTATATTTCTTTTTTAGCAAAATATTGCGCTATGATTAAATAATTTATCATTTTCCACACATTATTAGTCTTTATCTTATCTTTGTTTCGAATAAATTCAAATCCAATAAAAAAAAATGAGTGTAAAGAAGAAAATTATGGGTAATATAGACATATTTGATAGGACATATGCAAAGATTATTAAAATTGTCGAATACCTGTCATGAATTAAAGAAATGGTCCAATAACGGATCGACAAGTGTCCTCTACTTTATGAGAACATAAAATTTGGAGCATTTTTATTATAAGCTCAAATTATGACAACCGAGCTTAGAATAAAAAAATAATATTCACACACAAAAAAAGCATATAATTATTTGAAAATGCCAAAATGGGTTAGCTTAGAACGTACGAAGATCTTATCATTCATTTTATTTTCAAAATAATCAATATCAAATAATACCTTTTTAATTTAATTTATATTATTTAATAAATAAATAAATTATTATTTAATTTAAATAGCTTGAAAGGAGAGATATCTATTTAATCCGTAAAGACAAGCTCCATTCAAGCCAAAATAAGGAACGAAATAGGAAGAAATTATTCCTCGTTCTCGACCCTGCCTCGCTCATGTGTGTGTGTATGTATGTATGTAGGTATGTGTATATATATATATATATAATCGGCCCTAAAGACCTTCTGGGCTATCTTAAGAAAGGTGAAAAACTTCCATTTTGCGACCGCGACGCGATACATCGTTGAGCACTTTCTCACTTCTTTAGTAAGACCAGTGTGAAATTCTACCCTATTCGGTTTCGTGATTCCGAGACAAACTCCTCCACATCTTTCTCATGTCGTTTCTCCTTCTCAAAACCATCTTCAAGTGATGAGACAGAGGAATTCACCACGATGAGAGGGACGACCTCGGAAGAACGAGGAATTCCTCCTTATGGTATCGTATTCATTCTCCCATTCACGCCTTTGTTATATGTTCTAATGGAATTTCCTTTCGTAGGCTAAAAAACGAGTCGATCATTCTTCAGATCTTTGTTGATTGGCCGACTGATATGGGATAACCTATTTGAAAGAAAGAGATTTATGTAACGACTTATGTACGTGTGTGTATATATATATATATATCAAAGATTATATTATATTATTGAAATTTTAAATTTTTAGAAATTATATCTAATGATATAAAATATTTATTGATTTATTAGGATGTTTTAAATTTTCTTAATAAAAATTAGAAATTATTTATTAAAAATTGGATAATGATAGAGTTTTATTTATTATTAAATATGTATGAAATTTATTTATCCAATCTTTTCTTTTTTTAATTTTATTGCGAAAGTAAATAAGAACGCTGTCTAGTTAAAAAGTAGAAAAGAAAATAAAAAAGAAAAATATCGTCGACAGCAGGGTTCGAACCTGCGCGGGCGAAGCCCAACAGATTTCAAGTCTGTCTCCTTAACCACTCGGACATATCGACTTTTTGTTAATCAAACTTTAAATTTAAAAGTAAATTTTATTTTAGTTTTTTAGCTTATCTCAATTACGTGGATAGGCGGCAATGCGATTGAGGAACAGAACGAAACATGAGTTCGCTCCATTTTCGCCCCGCCCTGGTTTCGCCATGGAAGAAGAAGAAGAAGAACAACCAGTTCCTCTCTGCCGTCCTCAATCGAACCTCTCCTCCTTCCATGGCGGCTCTTCCAAATCCAAACCACAAACCAATTTTCATCTCTCATCTCCTTTCTTTCGCCCTCTCCATAACCCTTACTTCGCCATTTCCTTCTCTCGCAATCCCTTCCTTCAACTCCCTCTCCTCTCCCCTTTCTCCCACCACTCCTTTCTCTCAATCCAAGGACTTACCAATCGGACTTGAAAACGGGTACGCTCTCAGTTCTTCTCGTTAATCTCTGCATTTCTTCTGTAATTTCTCTTGATTGTCTCGCTCACAGCATGAACTGTCGCCAATTTCTTTCTGCCCTAATTTTGCATTTGTTTTCTTAACTGAATCATTGATAATTTAGCTAAATGTTGTCTTGACATTGCAGTAAGATTAGGCCCTGTCCTTCAACCAATCCGTCGTGTGTTTCTACAAATCCCAAATCGTCATCGTTTGCTTTCTCTTTAAGCATTCCTGAGAGTTTTACTGGGAATCCGATTCAGGTTTTAGTTCGCTTAAAGCTCTGTATCACTTGCTTGAATGTTGTTTTACGTTAGTGGCTTCTTATAGTGTTGTCTTTCATGATTCTGCTCCACTTCGTTTATTTGCAGAAGCTGCAGGAAGTGATCCTTGAAACGCAGAGGAATGCAAAGATTCAGATGGTGGAAGATACCCCATATGGTAATTGAACTGAAATTATCAATAGTTTATTTGAAATTTACATTACAAATTGATATACCTCCTTATGTTCTAATTGAACTGCTGAGATAGAGATGAGAATGGACTCTGTTTATTAGTGAGCCAACCCATCTGGCTTGTTCTTTTGAATTTCGTAGTGTTTTGACATAGTGACAGAAGTGAATCCTTGTTTTGATCCCGAAACACTTAAGAACGTAGTTAATAAGTCCTTAAACTTTCAAGGTGACATCTCGTAAGTTTCTAAACCGTAAAAAGTGTCTAATGAATGGAACGGTTCACGTTTCAAGTTCGTGTTTAAACTTTAAAAGTCTCGAAAATCATGTACATTTGGCACAAAAGCGAAAGTTTGTTTGTTACCTTTTAAATACAAAATCACTTTTAGTTCATAAGTGTGAGATCCCACGTCGGTTGGAGAGGGGAATGAAGCATTCCTTATTATAAGACTGTGGACCTCTTCCTAGTAGACACATTTTATAATTGTGAGGTTGACGGCAATATGTAACGGGTCATAGCGGATAATATCTGCTAGCAGTGGGCTTGAGTTGTTACAAATGGTATCAGAGCCAAACACTGGGAGGTGTGCTAACAAGGACACTGGTCCCAAGGGTGGTGGATTCTGAGACCCCACATTGGTTGGAGAGGAGAACGAAACATTCCTTATAAGGGTGTGGAAACCTCTCTCTAGCAGACGTGTTTTAAAACTGTGAGGCTGATGCCGACACGTAACGGGTCAAAGCGGATAATATCTGTTAGCGGTGGCCTTGAGCTATTACAATAAGCCTATTAAATGTTTTTGTAGTTCAAGAACTCATTAGAAGGCATAAATTTCATACAATTTAGCTTGAATCCCATGGGATGTCACTTCCTCTCGTGTAGATCTCATGTTAATATCTCGAGCGTAACGCATAAGATAGAGATCCTTATACAAGAACATGCAGGTCAGTACATGGAAGCTGAGGTTGATGGGAACTTTGGGCGGGACGTGATTGAGTTTTTGGTGAGAGGAGATGTGGCTGCTTACAGGATAATGGCAGCAAAAGTGACTTATGTGTATCCTTTCACAACTGCTTTAGGGGACTCCAAAGGACAGGAAGAACGCATGAAGAAGATCATAGAGGAGTTGGATTGGTATTCTCCAACCTTTGAATCTATGGTTGACTAATCCAAATCCTGTTTGTTTCTTCTATATTCTTTGTTTTCTTCCCATTCCTTTGTAGTCACTACACTTGAGGAGCTCATATGTATGATGAGCTCGAGTTTAGCTCGGTTCAATTGGTTAAGACATCTTCCAAAAGTTGTATTACTATTTTTGACATTTGATTCATGTTTCAAAACTACCCTTGAAGTGAAAATACACGTCGGAATGTCAGGTTTTTCAAATTGAATTCAGATGAGCATTCTAGTCACTATCTGTGTCCGCTTTTGCTTGTTAGGTAACGTCATCGACCTCATAGTTTTAAAGCGCATCTACTAGAGAGATTTTCACATGCTTATAAGAAATTCTTCATTTCCCTCTACAATCGACCTCGTTCCCCTCTCCAACCAATGTGAGATTTTACAACGCATCCCATTAGAGCCAGTGTCTTCGCTGGCACATCGTCTGATGTCCGACTCTAATATCATTTGTAAAAACTCAGCCCAAGTCCACTGCTAGTAAATATTGTTCGTTTTGGTCCATTACGTATCGTTGTCAGGCTCACAATTTTAAAACATGTATATTAGGTTAAGGTTTCCACACCCTTATAAAAAATAAGAGAGTAAAAGTATACGAGTGGTTAAAAAAATCATTAGGTTAAAAATATTTATGGTAGTTAACTTTTTACAAAAATAAAAATTTAATTTCTATGGTACAAATTTCCATAAAAAAATTAAATGTACAATTTTTATTATTTAATGGTTTTGACTTTATAACTTATATACCTAATAAACTTCTAATTATAGAAATTTCATTAAATTTGAATAATAATTTTCACATTAAGAAGTAAATCAGTATAAATTTTAAGTCAAAACATTAATTCCATGACCGTTGACCATAATTGATTTTTATTTTATATATATATAATTTTTTTGTATCATTATTTACCGTACTTTGGCCCCAAAGAAACCCACCGTAGCCGATGATTCAAGGGTATTTCCGGGAATTCAAATATTGCGACAGTCCATCAATTTTGACCCAATGAATCCCTAATCTTGCAGCGCGCGCCTCAAAGTATTTAATCCTCCACGCGGCCATAACCCCATCAAACGCGAAACCAAATTTCGGTGAACATTTCGATTGTTGTTCTGTTGACGTTCCCTTCGCAACGAGGAGTAATGGATGCCGTAGATTCTGTCGTTGATCCTCTCAGAGAGTTCGCCAAGGACAGCGTTCGTCTCGTTAAGAGATGTCATAAACCCGATCGGAAAGGTATGTTTCTTTCTTTGATATTGTATTGCATGGATCTGAATTAATCGAGGTCATAGATTTTGTTTTTTTGTTTCAATTTTACTTATTCAACGTTGTGGTGGTGTAGAATTCACTAAGGTTGCCGTCCGTACCGCCATCGGTTTCGTTGTGATGGGTTTCGTAGGCTTCTTTGTGAAGCTAATCTTTATTCCGATCAACAACATCATCGTCGGATCTGGTTAGATTAGGTATGCATCCAATTTAATAGATCTATGTTTTTCCGTTTTCGATCTCGCTTGTATTTGTTCTGCATTCTGCTCGTACTATAGATGTTTTTTGCTATTATGGGACGGATCGGCGAAATAAGGTTGCTTCGTGAAATTTTTGGTTGTTGAGCATTACGATGAGATTATTCCTTCTTAAATTTTTGTTCGATCCACGCGCATGCAATGTTTATGAAATATCTTCGTGCCTGACGGATCCAAACGATTGAAGATCGTACGACTGACATTGATGCCTTTTATATCATATTGCTCCTAATGTTCAAGACGTTTTAGCTCTGGATTTACGTTTGTTTCCCCTTCTTAGATTACTTTTGTTGCCATTGAGAATCGCTAGGAAACTTTATAGAAGCAGCATTCTGTTAGCTAACTCCTACGCTTCTATCCGTGTTGGAATGAATCTTTCTTAGTACCGTTCTTCAGATGATGTGGTTTCAATGTTTTAAATCTAGTTTGTAGTTCCCCTATCTTCTTTGTATATTAAACTATTGATTTTGTAATTTTCTGAATTTCCTTGGTAGTTTGGTTCTTCTTACCTTCAACTTCTTTGAAACTTTATGAACATCATAAATTATGTACTGGATAGCGGTGACGTATCTATGTTTTGAACTGGTTGTGGATGTTAGCATTTCTTCTACTCGCTCATCTCACTGCGTGCATGCACATTCATTCTTGCGCATTTGAAAAACATTTGTTGATTAGAGCTGACAGCAGGCAAGCCAACATGGAAGGAGGGCAATTGCCTCTTTTAGTTTGTGTTAAAAGATAATATGTAAAGAACGTTGGGATGTAAAAATTTGCCCCTCTTAAGTAAGTTTCTAGCTCCGCCCATGAGAGCTGTACCATTTTCTTCCACCTTCATTTCCTCTCTCATTCACCCCTTTATTCTTCTTTTCATTTTTTACTCGTTCTTCATCTTCCACTGAAAGAATGAACAAGGTTTTTACTGTTCCTAGATACCTTCTGTAGCAACATGTCACTACAGAAAACATGTCGCTAGAATCTAGCCATTCTATTGGTGTAGATAGTTTTTGAATGTTGGATCGAAATGGGGTGGAGATATAAAGTGGTGGAGGCTATAAGTGTAAGATATTGAAGCAGGGAGTATATGTTAAAGCAGTGTTTAGTTTGCTAACAAACACCAAAACCGAAAGGTTGGAAGTGAGAAACTCCGGAAGTAGTGTGCAGGAATTGGAAGCCTGTGTTTGGAATTTACAAAACTGAAAGATTTAGTGGTAGTTATGTGAGAAAGATCAATATTAGTATACTATGCATTAAAATAAACAACCTTGGATTGATCTAGTTGTCTATAAGAGTCATGTATCTAAGTCGACTTCGAGAGGAAAGATTTTAAGTGATGGTCATCACCTATCTAGAATTGAATATCCTACGAGTTACCTTGGTAACTAAATGTAGTGGGCTTAGACCGGAACAAGGAATAGTCAAGGTGTGCCCAAGCTTGCTGACCCAGAGACCTGCTCCTATAGACTCTTGCTTGCTCAAATGCTCCCTTCGAGTAAATAGTTTCCTTAAAAAAGATCGAGTTAGCGAGTGTTCGTTCTGGAAATTAAGAACCTCTCTTTTTACTTTCCTTAAAGCACTTCTTTCTAGTCCGTAGTGATAATTATAAAGGTGTAGCTTGCATGTTTACTGCATTATTTTGGGACCTTCAATTCCTCTTAATTTGTTCAAGTTGTGATTGTTGATTGATGTTCCTCACATTAGATCTGCTTGTCTTCCCTCCTTCAGCATCATTCATGAAAATTTGTTTTGGTGTTCTTATATGCCTTCAAGGATAGAAATGTGTGTTTTTGTTTAATACTACAACAACCCCATCATTTCCTTTTCCCTTTCAGCCCCTGCACCCGATTCAAGTAGTCAATTCGTGTTGAACGTTATCAAAAGCTTATGTCGTCGGTTAATTTAGGCCCTAATTTTGTCTTGCCAATGGATTTTCAGGTCATGATGAAGTACGTAGGGTGATGGTAGCTGGCGGTCACGTTTAGTACAATCTGTGTTCACTGAGGAATACTTAGCATTTAGCTCTCCTTTCGAACTTCAAATCTGCGTGCGTAAATTCGAGTGAACCTTAGGATTTGTGGAAACTTTTCTTTTCATATTAAAGAGCTTTATTTATATCTCAATGTTATAACATGTTCTTTTTCTCTAGTTCGGTATAAAATTTCTAGACAGTACTTTGCCATTGGCAGAAATCTTCCAACAATGTAATGGTGGTGTGGATAAAAAATTTATGCATATCGTTATGCAGAAAAGTATTGTTCTTTACAATATCATCATTGTGGTTCAGGACGAACATTATCATTGTGGTTCAGAATTCTCGTCCTGATTACAAGCTTGATATTCATCACAATCCAAATTCAAACATTCCTTTTTGCACTGCCATCCTATTGAAATACAAGAATCATTTCTCAACTATCGACGTGTATAAAGTTGAAAGTCATCTCGATCGTCATCCAAACAACTTCTCCAATCATATAGGGGAGGGCCCATTGTCTATCTTGATGGAGGGGTTGATCCATTAGAAATTAATATACTTGAGAAGTTGCTCTTTTGAGTTGTGAGATCCCATATCGGTTCGGTTGGAGTTTCTTTTGAGTTATAAGATCCCACATCGGAGAGGAGAACGAAGTATTAATTATAAGGTGTATGGAAACCTCTCCCTACTATGTTTTCAAACCTTGAGGGGAAGTCCTAAAAGGAAAGTCCAAAAAAGACAATATCTGATAGTGACGAGTTTGACTGTTACAAATGGTATCAGAGCCAGACATTAGACAGTGTGCCAGCAAGGACGAATGAGATCCCACATCGGTTGGAGAGTGGAGTGTGCTGAACGAATGAGATCTCACATCAGTCGAAGAGTGAAATGAAACACTCCTTACAAGGGTGTGTGGAAACCTCCCCCTAATAGATGCGTTTTAATACCATGGACTAACGGCAATATGATAACTAGCTCGATTTAGCTTTACTAGCCCTTTCAACTTTGATTGTGGCCATCGAAAGAATCCGTTCCGAATCCATTCAAACTTATGTAGTATATATATTAAGGAAATTTCAATCCATAACAGTTCCAAGAGATGATGCTACACAGCATAAAATGGATATTACAATGAAGCCGAAACACATGACAAACAAACTACTCATCATTCAGCTGCTTGGGACGCTGCCATTGTAGTATCAAACGATGTCTTCCTAATCAAAAGACAAATGATCCTAGAAGGATTTGCATGTGTATTATCAAGACTGCACAACACAAAGTCAGGCCTATGTAGAAGAGGATTCAAACGTTCCCCACCAACAACAAAAGCAGTCGCGTCGAGAAGGACGTGCCACGAGTTCCGATGAGCCTCCGACACCCAATGCAACGAGTATCGAGTCCCGTTTACATCAGCTGGATAAGAAAACAACCCTTTTGGACTATGCTTACACTTCCTTCTAAAGTACTGACTAAGTTGAGATCCTTTAATCCTCAAATCCAACCAACTCTCCGGTGCTTCTATCACTTTAGACTCCTTGAAACTTGCAAACTCTTTAATACAATCTCCTTCATCTCTTATCACTGTCATGTAGTAATTCCCTCTGAAAAAAGGGTAAGCTTCTCCTACAAGCATCATGGCTAGCCTATAGCTTGGTATGAACAGAACAAGATACTCTTCATCAGGCAGTCCACAATGCTTCAAAACTTTGTTTTGAGCTTGAATTTCAGGAATTGATATGAAACTCCCTGGAAATGAACATTTCATGGTGAGAATATCTAGCAATCTTGATGGCTCCAATGGGGTTCCTTCCAGATTCGGAAGGTTGCTTCCGAACGACGGTGTCGAAGGCTCTCTCGGGATGTTTCTCGGCGACTTTCGCCAATCATCCGACGTGGTTTGATCGGTTGATTCCTCGTTGATGCAAAGGCAAGAAAGATCTATCTTTTCTCCATCTAGTTGTGCATATTGTGGATACTTGGCTAATACATATTGTTCTACATATTGCCTTTCTGCTGGTGTTATAGGACCTGACCATCTTAGATCAAGGCCAGTGATGGTGGAAATCGCCTCTGCTATGATATGAGGAGGTATCATTGTAAGAGCTTTCTGTATCAAACACAAAATTCAGCCAAATTAAAGCAAGAAACATGAGAATTGTTCTTAAGAGTTCATCATGATGATTCACCTTGACTCCCATACTACTTGGCCTGAAAACATCTGTAGATGCCTTGATGTCTGTGACATTGGTTGAATCTTGAGTTTGACCTTCCATCAAGGCCTAATTCATTGTAAACAAGAAAACCCATCAGCCATTTGAGTCAAAAGAGAGAGAAAAAGAGAGGAGAGAGAGAGAGGATGAACCCAGAAATCCATACCTGAGATCCAATAAGCAAACGAAATTCTTCTCCAATGTTCTTGTTCAATCTTCAAATTTGTTTCGTACGAGGTTTATGATCATCTGTTTAGAAGAACACTCTCATAAAGGCTATTGCTTGCAGCAGAGGAGCAGAGGAGCAGACCATGAATGAAATGATGGCAGATTTGATAGCAGAGATGATGGAGGAAGAGGGAGAAATGGGTAGCAATTAAGAAGTCAAACTGAGAAAGACTTGTTGTTCATGTATAATTGGCTTGTAAATAAACTAATAAAGGCCACTAGGGAGAACATAAACAATATATATTTGTTGGAGTTGAGAAGACTTGGCCAAAACGAATGATCATTGGTTAAATTCGGTGAGATCCCACATCGGTTGGAGAGGAGAACGAAATATTCTATATAAGGATGTGGAAACCTCTTCCTGACATACGAGGGGAACCCCAAGAGGTTGTCCATAGAGGGTAATATCTGCTAGCAGTGGACTTGAGTTGTTACAAATGGTATCAGAGCCAAACATCAGGCGATATGCCAGCGAAGAGGCTGAGCCTCAAAAGGGGTGGACACGAGGCGGTGTGCCAGCAAGGATACTGAACCCTAAAGGGGAGTGGGTTGGGAGGTCCCACATCGGTTGGGGAGGAGAACAAAGTATACTTTATAAGGATGTGGAAACCTCTTCTTGGCATACGCGTTTAAAAAATCGAAGGGAACCCCAAAAGATTGTCCATAAAGGACAATATCTGCTAGAGGTGGGCTTGAGCTGTTACAAATGGTATCAGAACCAAGCACTGCGCTATATGCCAGCAAGGAGGCTAAGCCTCAAAGGGGGGTGGATACGAGGCAGCGTGCGAGTAAAGATGCTGGGCCCTGAAGGGGGGTGGGTTGGGAGGTCCCACGTCGATTAGAGAAGGGAATGAATGCTAGCGATGACGTTGAGCCCCAAAACGGGGTGGATTGTGAGATCCCATATTGGTTGAAAAAAAGAACGAAACATTTTTTATAAGGGTGTGAAAACCTCTCCCTAGCCGACACGTTTAAAAAACATTGAGAGGAAGTCTGAAAGGAAAAGCTCAAAGAAAACAATATCGATTAGCAATGAGCAACCATCCTATGACGTGCGGAAGAAGCATTGACGTTGGGTTTTGTATGAATGTGAAGGGAAAGAATATGCCATTTATGAAATGCTCAAGCAAACATATTACAAACAGACAATCGTCATATGATAATATTAAAATCTGTCTTAAAAGCTTTTACAACACCAATTTGACACTAAATAATAGACATTATTTCATTGAAGACTTGGTCCTCGACAAAGACCTGCATTTCCATTTCAAAAGAAAAAGCTCACTTTTAATGTTAGTGATGTTCTATTTTAATCGTTTTTGTCCCTTTCGAGTCACCTTTCAACCACCTCTTTGTTGTTAAATCTTTTTGTGAGATCCCACGTCGGTTGGAGAAGGGAACGAATTATTCTTTATACGAATGTGGAAACCTCTCCCTAACATACGTCTTTTAAAATCATGAGGCTGAGAGTGATACGTAACGAGCTAAAGCGGACGATATCTGCTAGTGGTAGACTTGGGCTGTTACAATTGGTATCAAAGCTAGGTATTGAGTAGTGTGCCAGCGAGGATGCTGGCCCCCAAGGGGGGTGGATTGTGAGATCACATATTGGTTGGTGGGGGGAACGAAGCATTTCTTATATGAGTGTGGAAACCTCTCCCTATTAGACGTATTTAAAACGGTGAGGCTGATAGCGATACGTAATGAGTTAAAGTGGACAATATCTGCTAGGTTAGGCTTGGGTGAGCCAAGCAATGGACAGTGTGTCATCGAGGTCTGAACTCCCAAGGAGGATGGATTGTGAAATCTCACGCCAGTTAAAGAGGGGAGGAAGCATTCCTTATAAGAGTGTGGAAACCTCTCCCTAATAGACATGTTTTAAAACCGTGAGACTAACGGTGATACATAACGGGCTAAAGCAGACAATATCTACAAGCAGTAGGCTTGGGCAAGCCAAGTATCGGGTAATGTGCCAGCGAGGACGTTGAACCCCCATGGGGAATGGATAGTGAGATCACACGTTGATTGGAGAGGGGACGAACTCTTTCTTGTAAGGGTGTGGAAACCTCTCCCTAGTAGACGCGTTTTGAAACTATGAGGCTGACAGCGATACATAACGGGCTAAAGTGTACAATACCTGCTAGTGATGGACTTGAGCTATTACACTTTTAGTTTGGTACTTTCAACGAACCTCCCCCCCCCCTTGAACTAGAATGTGAGGCCTCCCTACCTAACCTGAAAGTGTTTAACACATACATATGCAAATACATTCATCAGTTCATAAATTCAGTGTAATGAGCTATTCATTGACTATTTTAGATAGAAATGTGTATCAGAATTCAGTAAACGGATATCAATCACCTACCACCCATCCAATCGACATGAGACACTCAATTCACCTCTCTTCAGGGTCTAGCGACTTTGCTGATACACTGTCTGGTGTCCACCCCTCTTTGGGGCTCAACCTCCTCGATGACACATTGCTCGGTGTCTAGCTCTGATACTATTTGTAACAGCCCAAGCCTACTGTTGGGCATCCTCGCTCCTCGTTGATACTCGTTTCCTTTCTCCAATCGATGTGGAACCCTCAAATCTCCACCCCCTTTCAAGGTCCAGCGTTCTTGTTGGCACATCGCCTCGTGTGCACCCTTTTCGAAGCTCAGCCTCCTCGCTGGCACATCGCCCGATGTCTGACTCTAATACCATTTGTAATAGCCCAAGCCCATCGGTAGCAAATAGTGTCCACGTTGGCCTGTTACGCATCACCGTTAGCCTCACAGTTTTAAAACCTGTCTACTAGGGAGAGGTTCCACACCCTTATAAGGAATGCTTCGTTTCTTCTCCAACCGATGTGGGATCTCACAATCCACTCCCCCCTTCCCACCTGGGCCAAGCGCTCTCGATCGCATACCGCCCAATGTTTGGCTTTGATACCATTCCATAATATAATATTTGCTAGTGGTTGACTTGGGTTGATATCCCACGACTCACTACATGTTAGAAACCATGTTCGGAATCACAGACCTCCTCAATGATATGATATTATCCACTTTGAACATAAAGTCTCTTCCCCAAAATGCCTCCCGATGAATTCCTTACTTATTAAGTCGATGTGAGACTCCTCTCCTAACAATCTTCAACACCACAGCATAGAAATAACATGCCACCCCGGATCCAGAATAGGAGAATTCTGTCTGAAAAAGAAAATGTGTGGAGAGTGGGATTTGAACCCACGCCCTTTCGGACCAGAACCTTAATCTGGCGCCTTAGACCAACTCGGCCATCTCCACTTTTGAAAAAATTTGATCACAGAATAAAAAACCACCAAATCAGTTTTCTTCTCCTGAACTTCCCGCCTTTTTTTGGGAGCGAAACTCACAGCAGAATACCAGTCGCGTTGCGGTGCTACCGATCCAGTCTTTTCGGACCATGAACTCTCGCGAGCTTGCCCTCGTCTCCACAGCCGCCGTTGTCGGTGCCGTCGCTTCGGCCATTGCTTGTCGCTTCTTCTTTAATCCTAAAAAGCACCGACCTCAGTTCGATTTGTCGAGAAATGATGCTCCCTTGAACAACGGGCACTCGCAGTGTCCTTTCGATCCCTCCAAACGCAATGGGTCAGAACATTTATGATGCGTTTGCTTTCATGTTTTTGCATATCTCTGCTTTTGTTCCGCCGATTAAAGCACACTAACATTGTTAGGGTTTATAGTCTTTAGGATTTTATTTATTTCTATTCCTAAATCATAAATTATAGTCCATTGTTAGGGTTTATAGCCTTTTTTAGAATTGTATTAACTATTTGCAGGTATTTGTCATGGGATGACTATTTCATGGCCATTGCATTCCTATCGGCGGAAAGATCGAAGGATCCCAATCGGCAGGTAATTTCAAGTTCTGGGATTTTCATATCTGTTTCTGAAACGGTGTTATTGTTAGAGGAAAACGACGGCATCAATTATTTTCATGTCTAAATTTCTCTGTTTAAGCGTGTTGTGCCATTAGTCTTTCTACATGGTTGAATGCTCTGAGGGTTCTTTTTGTGTCAATCAAAACTTGTGGCCCCTTATTTGTTCATGTTGTTCTATGTTTGAATTTGTGCTCTATGGTGTAGGTTGGTGCATGCCTGGTTAGTCAAAATGGTGTAATTCTTGGTAAGTTTGCTTCATGGTTCATACGCCTGGTTTTGTTGGTTTCTTTGTTGTGATGTGAATCGATGTTTCTAACAAGTTATAGCCATTGTTCGTAATTGTGAACTTCAGTAAATACTTTTAAATGTAATCTTCTGCATGAAATGAGATCAAAATTTCTTTTTCTTCTTGTCTCACGAAGGTAATGCACATTGATTGAAATATGTAATGCTTGTCTATTTCGAATGTGTTCTATTTGTGTTGCAATAAGGTGTTCTGATCCGAGGATGAAATCTACAATATCTACTAACGGTGAACTTGGACTGTTACAAATGGTATTAGAGCCAATTACCGGACGGAGTGCCAACGAGGACTCTGGGTCCCTAAGAGGGGTGGATTATGAGATTTCACACTGGTTGGAGAGGGGAACGAAACATTTCTTATAAGGGTGTGGAAACCTGTCCCCTAACAGATCATTTAAAAATTGTGAGGCTGACGGCAATACGTAATGGGCTAAAGCGAACAATATCTGCTAGCAGTGAACAATATCTGCTAGCAGTGAACGATATCAGAGCCCGTCACCAGATGGTGTGCCAATGAGGACGTGGGGCTTCCAAGGGGGTGAATTGTGAGATACCACATCGGTTGGAGAGGGGAACGAAACATTCCTTGTAAGGGTGTGAAAACGTCTCCCTAATAGACGCGTTTTAAAAACCATGAGGTTGACGGCGATACGTAACGGGTCAAAGTGGACAATATCTGCTAGTGGTGGACTTGGGCTGTCACAAATGGTATTAGAGCCGATCACTGGACGGTGTGCCAGCGTGGACGCTGGGTCCCCAAGGAGAGGGTGGATTGTGAGATCCCACATCGGTTGAAGAGGGGAACAAAACATTTCTTAAAATGGTGTTGCAACCTCTCCCTAACAGACACGTTTTAAAAACTGTGAGGCTGACAATGATATGTGATCGGGTCAAAGCGGACGATATCTGCTTGCGGTAGACTTGGGCTGTTACATCCATAATAGATGTTACATTAATAACTAAAATCTCATATAACTCAAATATCGAATATTCACAAGTTACAACAATCATTTTTCAGTAGCCTGTCATATTGAGTTGACGCAGTTTACATAATCAAGTAGCCTATCATATTGAGTTGACGCAGTTTACATAATCAAGCCTTTGAAGTCAATTTTATTCATCTGTGATAGGCATAGGATATAATGGATTTCCCAGAGGATGCCCTGATGACAAGCTTCCTTGGGCAAAGGTTAGTTTCTTATGGCAACCTGAGTTCTCTACTTGTTAACAAACATCTCACTTCTTTTTCCTTTGTTCAGAAATCAAAAACCAGCAATCCTTTGGAGACAAAGTATCCGTAAGTTTATAAATATGTAAGCTTTTTTGTCCAATTAAATCATTTGCTAGAAGTCGAGATTTGCATTTCCTCATAACTTCATTCAATTTGCTATAGTGAAATCTCACATCGGCCGGAGAGGAAAACGGAACATTCTTTATAAGGATGTGGAAATCTCTTCCTAACGGACGCGGTTTAGAACCTTGAGGCTGACGCCGATATGTAATAGGCCAAAATAGACAATATTTGCTAACGGTGGGCTTGGGCTGTTACAAATAGTATTAAAGTCAGACACCGGGCGCTGTGCCAGGGAAGACACTGGGTCTCCAAGGAAGGTGGATTGTGAGATCCCACATCAGTTGGAGAGGGAAACAAAACATTTCTAATAAGGATGTGGAAACCTCTTCCTAACATACGTGGTTTAAAACCATGAGACTGATGCCGATATGTAATGGATCAAAGCGGATAATATCCGGTAGCGGTGGGCTTGGCTGTTACAGCAGTTGGTTCTGATGCTAAAATAGTGTCACTTTTTTTCAACCCCTCAATCATGTTCTTCTTGGCTTTAAAATCCTTTTTACAGCTATGTTTGTCACGCTGAAGTCAATGCCATCTTAAACACAAATCATGCTTCGGCTAGTGGACAGGTATTTTGCTTTCACCTGCCTTACATCTCTTTGAAACTTCTTGTCTGCTTATGAATGCTATATGCTTCACAGAGCTAAACGGACAACATGCTATTGACATTTAAATGCTTTACTTCATAACCACCATCCCCATTGCTCGATGCTTATGAATGCTCTGCTAATCAATATGTAATCTTTGCAGAGGCTCTATGTGACCATGTTCCCTTGTAACGAATGTGCAAAAGTAATTATTCAGGTTGAGTATTCATCAAGAAAATGGCATATAGGTTTGCCTTGAAAATGCCATTTACTCCACAAAACAACCATATTTGACCTCTGATATACACTATTGCATGCTCTTTTTTACTAAGTTGGACTTAATTGTGGGCTTTGTTGCAGTCTGGCGTCTCTGAAGTTATTTATTTTATTGAGAAGAGGATGAACAATTCTGTTGCTTATATTGCCTCTCACAAATTGCTATCAATGGCTGGCGTAAAAGTAAGTCGTGCTCTGTTACTGTTCGTCGTTCTGAACTTCAAATTATCAATGATTTATCTCTATGTTTATGAAGAAATAGTAATAAGTTGCCTGTTTATCTCCCTTGCTAGTGACTGATTTGGCCATTCAAATTGTAAATGCAGGTTAGGAAACATCAACCCTGGTCAAATCAGATCTTGATCAAGTTCGAGGAGCCTCATACATGAAAAGTATTTACCCCTTCTTCGAGTGTCTATATTTCGATTCACATTCTTCAAGATCAAGATCGAAAGCTTGAAACTTATATCGATGCAGTTTCTCCTTTTGACATGTATGGATTAAAAAAAATACCTCCACGGGTTTGGATTAGGAACGATCCAAAATGCAGAGACAGAACTCAAATTTTCTTTCTTTTTTGACAATATTGGAAGATGAATTGCTTGTTTTGACGAACTGTAGATGCTTTCAGTGACAAGCTACTGATATTACAAGTTGAGTAGCAAAATTTAAGACAAATAAAAATGAAATCCAGATGTTTTGATGTATAAGCGTTAGCAGTCAGTATCCAGTAACTCTTTGAGATGTATAGTCTTTTTTCCCTCTTTGGGGGGGTTGTCTGTTGAACCCGTAGAGTGCAATTGTACACTATAGCTTAGACTGGATCAATCACATTCAATTTGCAGAGGGGAGCGAAATGGTGATACCAAATGATAGCGAGAGTGAGAGCTGACCATAATTTGAAGATCAAGAATTAAGGGCCTCCAGTTGTCTCTTCAGATCTTCAAGATCATCCAAGAAAGGGGCCGTAGATTCAGTGGGAGGCGGATGCTGCTCATCTGCATTTGGAAGCTCGCGAACTAGACCTTCTGGAAGGGCATCTGCAAGGAAAAACAAATCAAGTGAATATCAAATTGAAATATTAGGCCACATTTGATAATCTTTTGGCTTTTGATTTGGAAAATTAAGCCTATAAATACTACAATCACGTATGAGTTCCTTTATTATCTACTTTTTAACTCCAAGATCAATATCATATCGAATATCCAGGTGAAACAAATCTGATACCTGATAACTAATAAATTTGGTTTAATAAAGGTTGTCCCGGTTTATTTACCAGCATAAAATATCACGAATTTTGCACACTAATACTATCAGCAATTATTATGGTGGCGAGCTAAAATGAAAATGAAGAACTTGCTGGACCGTATACATGACCTGCGAGGGAGGCAAAGAGAACGGAAACAAAATCTGAAATTAAAATAAACGGATAAAAGATCACCTGAACTGGTTGTTGCTCCCACGATTTCAATCTCAACTTCATCAACAACACTGAAAATTCAATAGTAAATTATTAGCTTAAGACACACCAAAGGTTGAATCATGATAGACACTAATGTTAAATCTCGAAAATAAGTATCCATAATCTGTAAAATTTTGCATCAATTCTTGATGTATTACGGTTCACCGACAACATCAAAAGGCAGAGATTTTATCTTTTCAAACCAGGTCCTCAATTTAAAAAATGTCACTTTTTTTAACTAGAATTCTCAACTGTATTTAATCTAAAATTGAAAAAAAAAACAAATAAAAATATTTAAGAGAGGAATCAGAACTAACACCTTATATTCCATTCATTATCAGCATGCAGTGGGATTTCTTCGACCGTCGATGCTTCTGCTTCCATCTTTGCCTTAGCTGCAGCATCTCGTGCAGGTTTTGCAATAATGTATTCCTTCTGCACCACATTATTCACAATCAAAAGGAATTTAGAAACTGTGAGATTAGCTGACTTTTCCAACAGTTAACAGTTACCTGTCTTTCCAGACAAGCCACATTGGAACACTGAGGGTTGGGCCTCATTTCCATGGTCGGAAAGTAGTCTTTTAGAGAATTATATCCCTGCAATGAATATAATCAGTAAGAACAAAGGACGAGGGAGAAAAACCAAGCATAAACAAACTTGATACAATTTTTTTCTAAGAAAATTTGGCACAAGACATTGCCATACCATCATCATAAATGTGCAGTTCGTTCAACCCTTCAACTTCTTTCATCTAGTCTTGCAAATGAAAATATTATAAACTAAATGAACTAAACGTAAAATCTTTTATTGGAGTCTTCCCACATGAAGAAGTGGAATTTCTGTTTAGAAGGGTTCCTTGACTGTTTTAGGTATTTTCCACAGCTGCATCTTAAACTCTAACATAAGCTATTTTGAGTTAGGAAATTAATTACAGACGTAACAATAAAATTGTTAATTAGCTTTCTAGTTGATTAAATGGTTAGTTCATATTTGGTCAAATGAAATGCCTATTAATATGGTGTCCGTTTGTTATCACAACTTTTTGAATGAATAAAGATTAGTGGAGTAAGTTATACTCACCAAGTATGGAGAAACGTGTCCGAACTTTAGCAGAAACTTGAGGGTGTTTTGCACCAATAGGCCTGCAACAACTCCCTGAAAATAGTATCAAATGAGTTTTTATAATTAGAAAAGTATAACAAAAAAATGAAACCATAGATAGGATTATGAAACATTAGTTAGCGTTAGCCAATTTTGAATTATGCCATGGAGAAAGGCTCTCAAATCATGAAATCAAAAGGAGTATTTTATTTTTTGTTCCGTTATTTGAAAGATTTCTAGTTGCACGGAAGACCTAGTGTTTAACTTACTGTTGTAGAACATACTGGCGATTAGTTTAGAAGCCTTTCTTTATAAGAAAAAGAAAAGGAAAGGGAAAAAAAAGTTACTCAACAAACAGCTAGCATATGATTTTAAAATGGGTTTTGGAGAGCCAACAAGAGTGGTACTTACAGTAGCATCCTTATATAATTACTGGCTGATATTTTGGAAGAAGAAAACAATAACTATGTTCTTTCCCGAAAAACATTTGAGATTTTAACTGCTTTTCGAATTGTTGAAAAAACTTTTAGAATGAAACCGAAGAACGTGAAAAAATGTTTGCAAGTGCTTTTGACTCCTAAAACACATTTGGTATGCTAACAAGCGATTTACCTATGATGGTAATGTCTAAATACAAATACAAGTCCTAAAATATACCCTGTATTAAACATAGATCAGCCAACTTGAATAGATAATCTGGACCTAAAACAAAAATGTCACTACAAAAAGGTTTATGGTTTTCTCTACAAGGAAGTTATTGGAAGTCCTTTGCATGAATAGCATTTAAAAGATGCTTTGAAAGAAGAGCTTGTGGTTGAAGCGCTTTTAAAATTATACAAAAAATTTCTTGATCAAGCCCCAAATGAGGTATTATTATCTGTTCGTTGTAGTTTGGCGCCTATTCATGCCTCATTGGAAGAAAATTTTGCACCCCCTCTTGAGGAAAAGTGTAATGCCCCTTTGCCTTCTTTGGGTATTAAAGATAATAGGCCACTTCTTGCAGTTCTCTTTTCCAAGCCCTTTGTTCGTGTTCTTTTCAAGATTTATGTTATTTTGGGAGATGTTCTTTGCATTTTCATTCATTTATTTATTTTGTGTTTTCTCTCCCCTGTGGAGTTTGTATCCCTTGACCATTAGTCTCTATTCATTTATTCAACGAAAAGTTTTGTTCTAGTCTTAAAAAAATGTTTATGGCTTTCACATGGACCTACCTAGTTATATATGCAATGTTAGCAACGGCACTTGAACAAAGGGGAAAAAATATCAGCAAAACAAATCATCTATTGCAAGTAATAGCAGTCCTTTTTTGTTTTGCATCTATACACGTGGGTGCCTACTGATGCAAGAAGACAACATGTAAGCACTACTTAAGACATAGCTAACCTCTACCTAGATCTCGTATAAATTCCAAAAGAATAATTATTGCACATTTTCCCCTTTGTTACTTGTTAAATGCTAAACGTGTAAACAAGTTCATTGATGGTTTTAGAAAATAGTTTATTTAAAGAAACCTAGGAATTATGTGTTTCAAAGGAGAGATGATTGCATCTCCCCTGACAGAATCAGAAACAGCCTTCAGGCTTCCCTGTTAACACAAACAGATTAAGAATTATATCATGACAAGAAAAATCCTTACCATTGTTGTAGGTAAAGATGCAGCACAAACCCCTTCTCGTTTGAGTGTTCGTTCGTCTATGCCAGATGCTACAACCTGAACAAAGAAAATAAATAAATAACTCTTCCACCAACGAGCAATGACTTAAAAAAAGATGATCCGGAAAGGATACAGAAAAATGAAAAACAAGAACAAAGAACAAATAACAAAGTACTCCATCACGTGAACCACATAAATAAAGTTATTGCAGTTAAGAAACAATAGAAATGTGGTTTAACTAGTTACTATAATAAAATTGAGAAATCTCCAAACATTCATGATCTTCGTTAGAGAGAGGAGGAATACCAGAGGAGGTGCACAAGCAAAACAGGCAGTTTCACCAGGAATAAGCAACTGAATATGACCAGAAACAGCATCCTCCGAAACGCCTGAACAAATCTCCAATTTGTAGAATCTTAGGAATATACGTGCAAAGTAAGAAAAACCAAAACAAATCTCCAAGTTTTAAATTCTTAGAGATATATGTGTAATGTAATAATTTCTTTGCAGGTTAAATTATAAGTTGTCTCTAACATATTTGATACATCCCAAACTTTCAATTTTTTCATTCAAGTTCTTGAACTTAAAATTGTCTAATAGGGCCACGAACCTTCAAAATTTTGTGTCTAAAGGTTCATAACCTATTAATCACTTTAGAAAATTCACGGACAAAAAGGTTATGTTCCTATTCAACGCAAAATTTAATTTTGTCAAATAGTACTAGTTTTGTGAGTTTTGTGAATTAAAAAATAAAAAATAATAGGTCAAAGACCTAGTAGACATAAAATTTAAAAATTGAAGGACTAAACTTAAAATTTAAATTTCTTTTCATATATCTTTCTTTTGGTATAAAATATAATTATATAAAGATGAGTGGTTGCCAGTATGCCCCATTTAGATTTGAACTACGAAGCTAGCATAACATATGCTTCCAAAATATCTGCTAGGCTTGCCAAAATGGTAGCAGATGTGCTTGTTAGTTCACATTTAACACTTTTGTAATATCAACAACATTAATATAAAATAATAATGGTGAGTCATAGCTTAAATTCGAACAACTTATCAATTTTTGAGATTTCCATAGTTTTCCTTGAATATCTGTCGACCACCAACATTTAAAAAATATTCCATGAATGTTTTCATAAATTTGAGTGTTATACCTATAAATTTCTGTCAACATCAATATACAATTCCTTGTTCTTAACCAATATATCAAACTTAAGATTTTAGGTGTTCGTCCATTTATGAGTGTTATGTAGTCAGCTGG